TGCTTTTATTTCATGTGCATTGGTGTTTTTCCTGCATGTATATCTGTATGAGGGTGTCAGATTTTCTAGATCTGGAGTTACAGACAGCTGTGTTTTGTTTTGTTTTAATTTTAACTTTTGGCGGTGCTGGAAATGGACCCATGCACACTAAGCAAGCATCACTGAGCCACATCCGTGGCCTGAAACTTCAGGGGTTTTGTTTTTATTTTGTTTAGTTTTAATGCAAAAGGGACCAGTAGTCTCTCACCAAGGGTTGGGATTAAGGTGTTCTTAGCTGTATGTTTAGGGATTGCAGTCAGCACTGACATTTGGGGACTGGACTTGAGTGGAATGAGAAGCCAATATTCCAATTCTGAAAGGATGGTGTGGTTGCTGACTCCCTCTTAATTCGCCCCCCCATCTTGATTATTGCTGAAATTGAGGAAATGGCCTCCCATCTGGTTTAATTCACACAAGCTTGAGGTATAATTTTACTCTCTCTCTCTCCTCTCTCTCTCTCTCTCCTCTCTCTCTCTCCTCTCTCTATCTCTCTCTCACATTTTTACAGACGTGTCTTGCTCTCAAGAGGAGGTTTGGTTGAAGGCACATTTGCCTGTCTCCAGAGCCTCCCTCTAAAGGCTGCCGGGAAGGAGGGTGGGGGGCGCAGAGACTTGAGTTTCCAGTTACTTCCCAGCCAGAGAGCAAACTCACTAGGCACAGGAAGCCAGCAGAGGCAAAAGTGAGTCACACAGGGAGACTGGGCACAGGGAAGGGAGGGAGCCTGTCCTGAGTGGAAAAGAAGGGGGCGTGCCTGTTACATGTCCGGAAGTTCCTACCTCCACATCCTCCTCCCCCTCTGTCGCTGCCCTCCATCGGCCGGCTCTCAGGTTGTTTGCCTGCTAACCACAGAGGAAGACAGAGTGATTGTTTTCTTACCTTTCACTCACAGCTGCCCTGCACCTGCTCTTCCTCACCTCCCAACTCGGTTCTTCCTGCCCTCCCCTGGTCAACCTCCTCCCTGGGCAATGCGAAACCAATTACACCCAGCCAACAGTGGGTTCAACAGGGATATAAATGACGGGCCCCAGGGAGGCAAGGGACAGTGGGTGTTCTGTCCCCCGGGCTCTGGGCAATCCATGCTGACCCTCTTTCAGCAGAGTGAGGGTCTCCTGCACGCAGTGGTTGGTTCACTGGTTACCTCGAATCTTTCTTGCCACCCAGGCACACAAGTTGTAGGTCACACACTCATTTCCACTGACAGGTAAACCCCATCTTGTTCTTTTGGTCCCTGGAGCAGGTGGGTCTTTAAGAAGGGACGGGAGGCAGAGGCAGGCAGGCGGATCTCTGTGAGTTCGAGGCCAGCCTGGTCTCCAGAGATAGACTCCAGAGTTACACAGAGAAACCCTCTCTCCGGGGGGGAAAAAAAAATGGGGACACATGGTGCAATGGTGAAGCTATCTACCACCCTCTCCAGTATCTCCTTTTGCCATCACCTCAGCCCCACCCTTCATCCTATCTCTCTATGAATTCTTTTTTAGAAAATATTTTAAATTTTAAGTATTATTTTATGTGTATGAGTATTTTGCCTGCATGTGTGTACATGTACCATGTGTGTGCCTGGTGTCCAGAGAGGTCAGAAGAAGGGATTGGCTCCGCTGAAATGAATTAAAAATGGTGTGAGTCACCAAGTGGTGCTGGGAACTGAACCCCAGTCCTCCGCAAGAGCTGCAAGTTCTCTTAGCCACGGAGCCATCTCTGCAGCCCTACAGGTCCTTTTCTTACTAACTCTTCTATCCTTGTCCACTTTGTTCCCAGTGGACAGGGTGAGTTTTCTCACACACAAATCCCAGCTAGGTGCTATGCAGAAGTCTGAGATGGGAGGATGGCTTAAGCCCAGGACTTGAGTTCTATTATCAAGACAGTCAGACTCTGTCTCAAAAACAAACAAAAAACCCACACGGATCCATAGTACTAGTGTCCTTTGCTTAGAGTCCTTTAGTGACTCCCATTACCTGTAAGAAATAGTTGTCTTTTTCTCCTTGCCTTGTTTTTCTAACTTCATATTCAATAATAAAACCATTTATAAAAGGCCATTTTTGCCGGGCAGTGGTGGCGCACTCCTTTAGTCCCACCACTTGGGAAGCAGAGGCAGGAGGATCTCTGTGAGTCTGAGGCCAGCCTGGTTTTCAAGAGCTAGTTACAGGACAGCCTTCAAAGCCACAGAGAAACCCTGTCTCGAAAAAAGGCCACTTTTGTGATAATGTCTGTCAGCAGAAAGATGGGTCAGGTCAAGCTTCACACAGAAGAATGTAACATGTACTTGGAAGGAAATGAAGTTTATGGTGTGTCTGGCCTCTTAGGGAAAGACAATTAACATATATGGCTCAATTTCAGAACAATAAAGGGCATCCATACAGCACAAAGGTCTGGTGTAGTATGCACATCACAGGAGTGCCTGGGGGTGGGACTCCCAGCTCCCCTCCTTGCCTTTAAACTAGAGTTCTTTACTTTTGACTCCATGGTTAAAACAAATAATAAAACCACAGATGCTGGCTGGGCATGGTGGCATATGCACTAGGGAGACAGGACAGAGGATTAGGAGATCAAGGATGCTTTCATATACATGGTGAGTTCTAGGTCAACTTGTGATGATTGGGTTCCTAAAACAAACAAACTAAAAAAGGGCTGTCTATTGTATATATATATGTATATATATATATCAACTTGTGATGATTGGGTTCCTAAAACAAACAAACTAAAAAAGGGCTGTCTATTTCTGAAGTACAGCACTTATCTACCGTGTACTAAAGCAGGACCTGAGTGTGAGGGAAAATGGTCCTATACTCACATGAAAAAAATGGCCCTGTGGGATGGGGTCTTAATGTCCCAGAGAGGTCCTTTACATTCCTCTAAAGTGGGCTGAAGTTATGTCTCAGCTGGTAGGATGCTTGATTAGCACACAAAGAGCCCTGAGTTTGAGCCTCAGCCCTAAAAAAATAAAAATAAACAAAAATTTCCAAATTGTCTACTCCTTTGAAGTGTCAAACCTTACCTACTTCAATGCATCAGGTACTCTATGCCTAAGGCATGCAATCTACCAGCTGCCTGTCCCCCAAAACCCAAGAGCTTCCTGCCACCTTTGTCCTCTTCCTTGTTCCAGTCTGCCTCTCTAAACTCCGGCCTTCCTTCCAGGTCCCATTCACCCTCATCTTCCAACATCCTTCTTAGCCCCTTCTGCTGGGAACTCCAGGCTGCCTGGGGCAGTGTGGGGATTCACCTCTCCTTTGCATCTTTCTATAAATCTGGCCTCTGGGGCCTAACTTGGGTTCTCCATCCCTATAGGGAATTGTTTCTTTCTGTTGTTGCTGTTGTCTTTTGAGATAGGGCTTCTCTGTGTAGCTCTGCCTGTACTGGAACTCCCTCTGGAGACCAGGCTGGCCTTGAACTTATGGAGATCCACCTGCCTCTGCCTCCCAAGGGCTGGGACTAAAGGCGTGCGCCACCACCGCTTGGCTAGGGAATTGTTTCTAATAGAATAGTTGAATGCAGGCCTTCGACTCTGGCTCTGCAGTAGGGGGTGAAGGGGAAACTGTGGGGTAAGCTGTCCTTGTGCAAAGCACAGGGATTAGACAGATGGTGGAATGTGATGAAGGCGGCACAGGAGACATCTGGACGCCACTCACTTTGGCAGCTGCTGAGCCTGGCTGCTCCCTTGTTCCTGAGTCTAGCCGGCCTGTCTGGCCAAGGGGTCCTTAATGATGCTAACAGCTCAAGTTTCTAGCCTACATTGAGGTTGACCAACTCATTGTCCACCCAAAGTTCAATCAGTGGGGCATCTCCACTGGGACAGGGTTAGAAGGCAAGGGCCCACCTCTTCCTCCTTGCCAAGAGGTATTGTTTTGGCAAAGTCTTCAGAGGAGGAGGAAGCTAGTTTGGTATGTATCAAAAGGAGGTGCCAAACAGATGATTTTGAACTCAACAGTGTTAAAGCCACTTCCTATACGCAGGGGCTTGGGCACTCCTCTACTCCAAACCATGGGGAGAGGCCATAAGGTAAGGTTGTCTCTCTCTGGCCATGGAGACAGACCGGGAACCAGACATCCAGAGCACAGTAGGACTCACGCTGTCAAAGGGAGAGCACAATAGCACCAGTGGCTCACTCATTCTTTGCTATAAAAAGCAGCAGAAACCCTAATGTGTATCCCCACTGTGATAACAACACACACTGTATATAAACAGACACGTGCCCAGATGGGACCACACCAGCACGCTTCATATGCAGGCACCCGGCAGAGCACACAAACAGCTTGCAAGCTATAGGGAATGTGTGCCCATCAGAAAATATAATGCCTGGAACGAAGCCAGGCATGAGCTAGGAATGTAGTTAGGAAAGCAGTGGGAACTCTGGGGCAGGAGGATGAGTGGGGGAGGGTGAAGAGGTAAAGAGATGCAAAGTGCTTCCCCTATGATGGGATCCTATGATGGGATGTTCTTCTTTCCTCTACACAAGATTAGGTCCTTCCCTAGACAAGTAAATCTCTGAGCACCATGTATTTTCTCCAAGTAACGAAGCTGCTTTGCTGCCTTGAGCCGTCTAGCAGGCCCATCTGCTAGGGCCGTGGTTCTCAACCTGTTGTGGGTCGAGACC